GTTCTCCTGCTGAATTCTGAGACAACTTCAATTTATTCAATTTAAATTAATTTCATTTTTGATTGCTTATACATGAAATATCTTAAAGATGATATTCAATAGCCAGGTTGCAAAATTTGAAACAGTTAAACTGAATTTGGTGTTTAAACTGTGAAAACTATTGAGTGCTGCAGATTAAATGCTTGAAATGTTCTGCTCTTAAAATTCAGCGATCAACGTTTCTTCTCTATAAATATCTTTAGAAAAGAATGCAAACTAGTTAAATTTAAAGCCTTGTGCTATTTAGCGACACGGTGAAGATCCCCTTATTTCTGTATCACAACACAATCCCGTGGCTTGTGGATTTTTATATATGAAGGAATCTCTTTTTATCCTTGTGCTTTCATGTTCTACTTTGCAGTTTGCTGAACTGATACAGCCCATTGAGGAAAGAATACATAATGTCAAAACTTTCATAAAGGTATGAGTATGAGTTCAGGCAGTGATAATTTGACTTAAGATTGTTTCATGAAAAGAATCTCCCGTGTTTTAAAAAACTAAATTGACATATATAATTGTTGGTCAGAATACTTTAAGCTTTTCATTTTGCATGTTAATGTAGAACAGGAGGGATGGATTATAAACATCTTTTACATCTGTTTAACTGACAGCGACGTATCTTTTTTCAAGAAGCATAGTGTGCATAGGAGATGTTGCATGGTTTTGCAATGTTGGTTTTATGTGTTGGAGATTCAATGTAACCTTTCACGTTTCTTCATCTAGCTCTTGCACTTTTTGGAGTAGTTAGTTCATGACGATGTCTGTAAAAATGTGAGATAATAAAAGATATACTAATCTACATCTTTAAACAGTGTTCCATGACTCCATCAAATGCGTATAGTGTCTCTTCTAGCAGGATTTATATGAGAAGTGCATTTTTTCTTATTTAAATTATGATTAATATTTTATTTGAACTAACATGCAGTCTATCAAGCCAGAGTTGGAAGTGCAGGCTGTACCGATCACAGATCCGTTTGGCCCTTCCATTACAGATGAAAAATTGGAGGCTGTGATTGTCAGGTTAGTATTAAGACTGGCTTGTGTGTGTCGCATTTTAATTTTTGGTAGTGGTAGTGTTCATTCGATTATATATCCATAGATGGGAAGAGATTCTTTCAAGTGAGAAAATAAAAAATCAAGAGATTTTCAAGGGTTAAGATCTCACCCTTAAATCTTTTAAACTTCCACTTTACAATAAAAATGTTAAATTCATTATTTTCTTTGCTTAAATATGGTATCTTGCTATCATATGACATAGTTTTTTCTAGATCCCTAAAGAAAACATTATTTATCTATTTTAAAATGAATGTTAAGGACTAAAAATAGTTATTTCAGATTTTTGAGAGATGAAAATAAAAAAATATATTATACAAGACTAAAATCAAAATCTCCTCATTTTATAGGGAAAAAAACAATAATTTCAAGTTTTATAGAGACTAAACATATTTAAGTCTTCTTTTCTTTGAATGGCGAGAATCTAACCCAGTGAAAATGATATTGGAGAGGATCCATTACCATCCATAGACAGCTTATAAAAAGTAACTTTCGAGTTCTGATGAAGTATCTCATTCCAATCGACTGGTTTCGGATCTTGATGTTCATGATAATTAAGGTCTTGTTTTAGTAGCAAACTTAGCTGGGTATCTTCTTTTATTCATAGTTCCATTTTGATTTTGTGATTACTTTTCAATTTTGATTGTAGTACAAACAATTGAACACAACCCTATATACGTTCTCTTTTAAAAAGTGTCATTCAGTTATTTGATTACTAACTGCATATGGTTGTTTTACAGCAAAGAGACATTACCGGGAGGATTGGCAATAAACAGAAAAAGAGCTGAAAGAGGCCTTTCACTGTTGAAGGTCTCAATTATTTGTTTATGTGGTTTGGTTAAGATTGCTGATGAAAAAAAATTATGAAAATTTCTTTTCACTCATCAAAATATTGTCACATATAAGGAAATTGTTTTCGTGGATCTTATGCAGATAGAAGTTGTAGATTTGCTCTCTGGAGAATCAGGTGAAGTTAAACTGAGTTCATCAATGCTACGGAAGATTGAGGCTGAAAAGGCCAAACAACCAAGCACGATATCGCAGACATCGCAGACGTAGTAAAGAAAAATTTGCTTAACTTATTTCTTTAATAAAATTTCTTCAAAGATGAGTTTAAGATGTCCATTAAATAAACTGGCATATGATTGCATGTCATGCCATTGTTTAAATATGTCTCTAGTTTCTATATTATACCCATTATATGATTTTTGTCTATAATTTTTTTTTTCCTAGTTTTGGCCCCTCTATTAAATGTTGATATGGCAAACAAAATGTCACATCAGCGCACGACATGGCGCACACATAGACTGATTACTTGAAAAAGTAATTGCAATGCCATTTTTTTGTTTAAAAATTTGAAAAAACAAATAACTTAAAACCTAACGAATTGTGGCACAACAAATAAAAGTGACGTGCACTTGTACTTCCACAAGTAAAATTTATTGCGCCCTAGCACAGTGAGTTCTATGCATTCAATAATGGCGTTAACAAAGAGGAAATGCAAATTCAATGTGTGGGGCCCAAACCTATGTGGGGGTGTGGGTTCAGATTCGAATTTTTCTCAATTTGCAAAACGGAGATGAGGATGTTAATATTAGTTCCTCTGACTCACTTAATAATATAATTATAAAATTATCTTTATATATAAAAATTTTAAAAAAAATGTAAAAATTTGTATTATTTTATTTTATTTTTAAAATTTTCTCATATTTATTATAAACAAAAAAAAGTCTAGGAGTGGGGGTGAGAGAATCCGAACCTCATTGGAGGTAGGGATGGGTACCTAAATTTTATTTTCAAGGAGGCGAGGGCAGGAATATAAAACTTGTCCCGTTGCCATGCCTGATGGAGATGAAGTAACATTGGTTACTTCTTAAAGTACGAAGAATCCATGAAAATTTTTTTGGGACTGTCCAAACTAGAAAGTGAGTTTGATTAAATTTGATTATTTTTGTTGTTATTGTGTTGATTATTAGTTTTGTGTTGTATTGATAGAATAAAGTAATTTTATTTGGTGGGATGATGCCCTTGTAAAAGAGTATGAAATTAATTTTTTTTAAAGATAAATTTATATAAAAGTACTTATAAGAAAATAAAAAAATGAAATTATAATGATAGTAATAGCTTCTTCACAATTTTAGAAAGAAAACACATGCAAAAATCTATATTTTTTCCTGCCAAATGACAGAAAAAGCAAAAACACCTAATCAATAAAACAAAAAAAATTTGTTCAATAAAAGCCAATGATTTTTATTTACCTTCCTAATAAAATTAAATCTTTTGAATTCTTCTAAAATAGTATCATTCTCAAATAAAAATTATTAATTATTATTATCTATGTTTATTATAAAAAGAATATTTATTATAAAGGAAATATATTTTGACAATTACTTTTTTAATTCTTATTTTTATATTAGACACTATTATCTTTAGATTTAATAAAAAAATTATTTAAAAAAAAAAATAAATGTATAGAGATGCGAAGTATCTCTTTTACTACCGTATCAATAAAGTTTTGTATGCTATTATTTTAATTAAATTTATTCAAAGTAATTAAGATTATTAGACTTATGTGCAATTGTATTAGTATTTTAAGAACATTTTCTTTTGGAACCAAACCGACGAGATTCGATCACTTCAGTTATAGTTGAGTATTAGTTTTGTGATTTGAAAGTCATCATTTTTTTTATACACACGTATAATATAACGCCATTTCAATTAAAGAAAATGGTCATCGAAAATAATTATCTCGAATCTATTCTTATTTTATTTTAGTTTTACTTATACGAACAATACAATATTGTTTTGAAAACATCGTTTTTTTTTAAACTAATTAATTTGAACAACTTCTCTCGTTTTTTAAAATATAAAAATTCATACATGATAAATTGAACCAAACTAACACGTTTTTTATTTATTTTATGAAGTTGGTTTAATTTGAGTGTGATAAAAAAAAATATAAACTAGACTAATTATTTTATTGGATTTAGATATTTTGTTTCCTTTCCTAAAACAAACGAAACTAACCCATGGATATTCCTAATTGTGCTTTGCATTTTGTCAATTTGAATGAAATTTCTATCATTATTTTTCAGAACATTGTTCGCATGATTTTTTTAACAATATTTTGTTCTACATTCGCGTTTCAACTTTCTACTCTAATATTGTTAGTTTAATAAATAAGGTCCGCTGATTACTGATTGATGCTAATCCAAGTTTGGTTCATTGACAAGATAGGGAAAAAATACAAACTAACGATAATATGTGAAAGGAATTAAAGTATTTTTTCAATTAAAAATAATCAATTTAGTATATTTTTAAAAAATATTAATGTTACTTTCCATTCACTTGCATCTAAATTTTTTTTTTACGCCTTTCTTAAATATTCTAACAATAGTATAAAATTCGTATTTCATTTTAGCCCATAGTATTTCCTCGTGTTTAATTTCATTTGATTCGGCATTAATATCCAATCAAAGATTAATGTAGTGTTTGCTTCACTAGACACCGGAGGATTCAAGTTCAACAGTTATCACTTTTCTTCGTTTCTCATATCCAACGGATATTTTTCCGAACGCAAAAATTTCAAATTCTAGTTGTGATGTGAGAATATATTTCTCAATGTTAACTAAACTGACACAAAATTTACCGATTCACTAATTTGTTTAACGAGGGATCATTAGCACGAAAGAAGAAAGGTAACCACATTGGTTTCCTCAGGGTTCAATTTCATTCTTCTCTTCTTCACCCCTTCATGTTTCATATTCTTTCTCTGAAACTGAACGGATAGTAGTTTTTACTTCTTACCATTCTGAAACCGCACGAGTAGTTTTTCAGATTTTACCTTTCTTTTTCAAGTAATGCAAAACCTCTCTTGAACCACGTTTCACTACGTGTGCCACAATAAAGAATCAATTCCATTCTTTCCTTTTTTGACTTTTTTTCTTTTATGATTTGGTTCTCTTCTTTTGCCAACCTCGTATTTTTACCGTCGCTAACTCTGTGTTTTCTTTCATCTTAGATCACTTGGAGCATTTTTTTCATGACAAAAACTTGTGTTCATTGAGAAATTCACTCATTTCTTGAATTTGTCTAAAAGGGTATGTTTCATTTTCTTCTCATGAAAATCCAAAAACATTTCTTTTTCTTGCTTTATATCTTATCAGTTCTCATTGATTTGCTTCTTGTTCTGTTGGTTTTGCAGGTGGGATTTTGCAAAGATGAATGATTTGATGACAAAATCGTTCCTAAGTTATGTGGAACTGAAGAAACAGGCTCAGAATGACCTTGAAAACGAACTTGATATTGAAGCAGGGAAACTCAACCCCACGGAAGACCGTAACCTCTCTCAGTTCTTCCAAGAAGTTGAATCAATCAAGGTTGAAATGAAAGAGATCACCAATCTCTTATTAGATCTTCAGCAACTGAATGACGAGACAAAGTGCGCTCACAGTGCCAAAGTTCTTCGTGGCCTTAGGGACCGTATGGAGGCTGACATGGTTGCCGTGCTTCGCAAGGCAAGGATTATCAAGGCAATGCTCGAGGTTCTTGATCAATCCAACATAACAAATCGCAGTTTATCAGAATCCTACAAAGAGGGGAGCCCCATTGACAGGACCAGAATGTCTGTCACAAATGGTTTGAGGGTCAAGCTTAGGGACATGATGAATGACTTTCAGTCCTTGAGAGACAAGATCCTCTCAGATCACAAGGAAGACTTGAAGAGAAGGTATTACACCGCAACAGGTGAGGTTCCGAGCGAGGAGGACATGGAGAAGATGGTTTCAGGGAGTCTCAAAGTTGAGTTTTTGGCTGGGAAAACAGATGCTGATTTGGGCACTCAGGTTAGGCATGAGGCAGTGATGGATATTCAGAGGAGTTTGAATAAGCTTCACCAGGTTTTTCTTGATATGGCTATTCTGGTTGAGACGCAAGGAGAGAAAGTGGATAACATTGAGGATAATGTGGCCAGTGCGGGAAACTACATCCATGGTGGGACTAATAGTCTTTACTATGCCAACCAGATGAAGAACAAGAACAGAAAATGGGTGTGTTGGGTTTTTGCAGTGGGACTGATTATACTACTCGTATGCATTGTTGCAATGTTGTCTTCTTGACTGGAGCAGTTTGGAAGGACTGGTTTAGGGTTTCGAGACTGAAGATACTTTCATTTCCTCTTAAACGCTTCAATGGTTATTGGATTGTTGAGATAATTGATTCAAATTTGTTTCATGAGAACTAAAGTTTACTGGCTAGAATTGATTTTTTATTCTTTGGCTACACTTTTGCTTTGTTATTTTGTTTCATTCGTGATTGCAGTGAGTTTTTTTTCCCCTCACTACACACTACCTTAATGTAGAGGGTGAAAACATAATTGCAAAAAACCAGTTACTGCAGCGCCTTGTATTTACTTTTTTTCTTCTTTTTTTTTCTTTTTTTCCCTTCGTAACTTCGAAAATATATCATGTAAAGTGTAATGTGATAACTGGTTAATGCTGAAATGGCACCAAGTACGTGGAAACAGCCAAAGGAAGTCCATTTTTCTATCTAAAATAGGATATCTATTCACTACACAAATATCTTATCCAAAACTAATCTAAACAAATAAAAGCCACTAATTTTGAGCAACGCCTTCTACTCTTTTATCCAAATTATTTCAATTTCAACTTCTCTTTGGAGGATAGTTCGATTTCTTAGCAATTTAGCGGTGGGTATGTTGCTCCTTACACCAAATGCGGAGCAGACCCAGGCATTACTGGAGAGATGTTCAAATATAAAAGAACTGATGCAAATTCATGGCCAATTGTTGAAAAAAGGCACCATGAGGCATCAGTTAATAGTAAGCAGGCTCTTGGATTCATACGCAAGAATAGAGTTGGGTAACTTAGCCTATACTCGTATGGTTTTTGACAGAATAAGTTCACCTAATACTATCATGTGGAACACCATGATCAGAGCATACTCAAATAGTAATGACCCAGAAGCAGCGCTGCTTTTATACCATCAAATGCTTCACAATTCAGTACCTCACAATTCTTACACTTTCCCTTTTCTTCTGAAAGCATGTTCTGCTCTCTCAGCCTTCGAAGAAACCCAGCAAATCCACGCTCACATTATTAAAAGGGGTTTTGGTTCGGAGATTTATGCCACAAACTCTCTCCTTCGTGTTTATGCAATTTCGGGCAACATCCAATCTGCACATGTCCTATTCAACCAGCTTCCTTCGCGAGATGTTGTTTCTTGGAACACAATGATTGATGGGTACACAACATTTGGAAACGTAGACAAGGCGTACAAGATTTTTCAAGCTATGCCAGTGAAGAATGTCATCTCTTGGACAACCATGATTGTTGGGTTTGTTAGGGAAGGCATGCATAAAGAAGCTCTATCTCTTCTACAGAAAATGCTTGTTGCAGGCATCAAACCTGATAGTATAACCTTGAGTTGCTCTCTTTCAGCATGCGCAGGCCTTGGTGCATTGGAGCAAGGCGAGTGGATTCACACCTATATCGAAAAAAATGAAATAAAAATAGATCCAGTTTTGGGTTGTGTTCTTATAAACATGTATGTTAAATGTGGTGAAATGGAAAAAGCCCTACTGGTGTTTAATAAGTTGGAGAAGAAATGTGTCTATGTTTGGACGGCAATAATCGGTGGCTTGGCAATCCATGGAAAGGGTAGAGAAGCTCTTGATTGGTTTATCCAAATGCAGAAAGCAGGAATTAAGCCGAATTCGATCACTTTTACTGCAATTCTGACTGCATGTAGTCATGCAGGGCTAACTGAAGAAGGAAAGTCCCTGTTTGAGAGCATTGATACTGTTTATAATATTAAACCTTCTATGGAGCATTATGGGTGCATGGTGGACCTCATGGGTCGTGCAGGGTTGTTGAGAGAAGCAAGGGAGTTCATAGATTCCATGCCCGTAAAGCCAAATGCTGCAGTATGGGGAGCACTGCTCAATGCTTGCCAACTGCACAAAGATTTTGAGCTTGGTAAAGAGATTGGCAAAATTCTGATTGAATTGGACCCTCATCATAGTGGCCGGTATATTCATTTGGCAAGCATTTATGCAGCTGCTGGAGAATGGAATCAAGCTGTCAGAGTAAGAAGCCAGATCAAACATAGGGGACTGCTAAATCTTCCAGGATGCAGTAGCATCACCCTGAATGGGGTTGTCCACGAGTTCTTTGCTGGGGACGGATCCCACCCACAGATCCAAGAGATATATGACATGCCTAATCTTCTTGCAAACAGATGACATGTTAAGTGGCAAATTGAATTGAAAGTGGGAAGATAGAATAATGGTTTTTCACCGCCTATTGGGAGGAAAGAAAATGAGAAAAATGTAGCTTACCAGCATCAAAAACGTATAAAAGAAAAGAAAATTATTATTCCTTATTTTTTTGTTACAATAATGTTACGAATGTAATGAGGTTTAAACGAGGTTTGCCTCTTGTAAACTATCGCTCGCCACTGGCCTACTATTAGTGGCATAGAGAATTATTAATACAGAAGATACATATTGTTGGCGGATCAAATAACACAAAAATAATTGATGACGCAGAAACACATTTACGGTTCAAGCTATGCTAAGGTGCTGCACAGCTGTCCAAGTTTGTTCTGGCTCTAGCTGGACACTTCCAATCTGAAGAAATTAGTAGTAGGATAAATTATAATTCAAAAGAATCAATAGTGAAGGCTCGAAAATCATGTCAGCAATCAAAATACTGCGTTACCCCCTAACAGGGTATGTCTCTGATCCCTTTCGAGAAAGTTTTGCGAAGTCATTACCTTGGCATTTTCAACGCAAACAAAATCTTTGTAACATGCCTCCATTTGAAGATGAGGATTCCACAACACGGCATCTGACCAACTACATGGGTAAAGAGGCAATAGAAGTTTTAGCAAGTGACTTGGGCAAACCAAATAATTAATAGAAGTTTAAAATGACATACTTTGTGTTCTTGATAGATATTAGATCACCCAAACCATTGTCAAGTTGCAACTCACTGGAAGCATCGAGATAAACACAATCTACAAATCCAGGGAAAGTGACCACGTCCCTGCATTATGAAGATTACTGTCTATTAGGCTAAATAAATTAAGAAACTCAATGTCAAGATACGATTCTACATTATTCAATGAAATTTTGGTTTTATATGAATCAGATTGAGACAAAATATACTTGTCCATTAGATAAAGATGAATAATGAGGAGGAAGAGATAAAAACTGAAAGAAACAGGAACATATTGGCCACTAAATGAATGTAATGTTATATAATGAATAAAGGTGGATTTTAAGTAATAATTGACATATATAAAGAATCAAGGGTATGCAAAAGAAAATGCATGTCAACGTGTATGTCTGGCATGGTAGAGATAATTGGAAATACTCAATAGTTAGGTAGTACAGCTTGTTATCCAACTAATTATTGTTTTATTTCCATTTAAGAATTCCCGGACAAAAAAAACATACCTTTCTTCCCTACCCTCGACTGGATTTTTAGGATCTGGATCTTTGTTGAGAGTTTTGCAACCTTTTAACCCCTTTACTGATGCACCACTCACAGATGCCTGCAAGACAATGATAAAATTATTATATTTTTCTCTTGCCATTGGAACAATCGATTCAAATAATATTGAAAGATAAATGTTTGCTAATGGATTAAATGCTTACCTTGGGCTCAGATCTCCAGAAAACCCATACAAAATGTTAAAACAATATTTAAGCATAAACAGAAAACATCATTTTGGTGATCATTAAAAATTATAACCCTTATCACTTACTCGAAAATATGTGTGCAAGGCAGTACTAAATGAGAATGCTTTATCGTCTGTATTTTTAACTGTTAACTCGGTCGAAAGACTTTTAGCATTTAGTGTGACCTGCATAGAAAGAAGCACGCAATTGCATCATCATTAGGTTGTAGAAGACAACAAGCACCAGGACAAGTAGCCAAGTAGTATTGCAGATTTGGGTCTTCTATAGTGATATCGAGTACTTTAGATGATAAAGTGCAACTATAGTCATTGAATAAAAAATAAACAGTTGAGATTGTAATAAAAATACATATATATGCATAACAAACTATTAAATTACAAGCTCAACAGTTGATTTTCCAATTAATGGCTATAAATACCCTCTATCTTGTAACGTGCATCACCTCATTCTGAAGAAAGTTAAATTTGTAGTAATTGAAAGATGAATTGTGGTTGAAGAAAACAAGCCCTAGACCTTGAATAAAGCATGGAAGCCGAAATCCCACATATCACGACTATAAGGAGCATCCTTCAGTTCCAGAGTTACAACAGGATTTCCTTCCGTATTTTCAGAATCAACAACAGTCCAATCCATATTCCTTGCAAACCCATGCTGTCGAACACTCAACCAAGCAACACACACAGAGAGAGAAATGTATATATATAAACCAGAAAAAAGAAAAAATGAGAGCAGAAAATAGCATTGAATAAAGGAGCAGACATACCTGCTGAATTGGACCAGGACCAAACTGTGGAAAACAATGCGGGACGCCTCCACTGGTGCAACATAAAACTAATCAGTGCCCGAGGTTCCAAATTTAGTAAATTACAACGTAACCATTGAATTCAAACTACATGCATAGCATAATTGAGGGAAAAGAGGAGCGGGATTTGTACAAGAAGGTAACCTTATCGGTTTCTTCCCATTAAAAACAGCGTCAGGGCGAACAAAAAGAAGGTCCTTGCCACCGGGAACTTTCCAAGAGGTAATGCAACCTCCAAACAGGTATATCTCAGCCTCACTGCAAACCACACATTGATTTAACCAACGTTACGCACGTTGACCTGATTATGTTGTGAAGAGAAAATAGCTAAGTTTACAGAAAATGACGCACCTACCAGCGGGGGAAGTAAGCACAAGCTTCGGCAAATTCCCCTCTCCTTCCGTGACTCGCACTCCCAAAGACGCACTCGCTTTGTTACTCAAACTTGCAAATGCCATTCCTCGACACCTTTCACCAGATACAGAATTTACAATGAAACGAAGCTACACTGGATTTAATTCAGATATCATTATCGTGTTGAACGAGAAATTGAACCTGTTGAGATTCGGAAAGGTCGCAGTGTTGACACCGAATGCCATGGAAACCATCGCCATCTGTTTTCCAAATTTCCTACTCTACTCTCCCACTGCCACCAATTTTATTCGGAAATTCGGATATTCCTTCCGCTTGGCCCGATCCGGCCCATAACCCGTGGAGGCCCGAGCCCACGAAACAAAACAAATCCAGTGAGAATCTTTTTGGGGGCAAGCAAAGAGATGTGGCGGTCACAGGAGTTGGTGAGGAAGGTGAAACTGAAAGCGAAAGCGGTGGGTGGGGTCCACGTGCATTTGAAATGGATGAGCACGGTGATGTGTTTCGGCGATGGAAGCCAAGGGGCCGTTGGATCCCCCGTCGGTGTTGGACTCCACGCCTACGAGCCCACTCCTGTTGCTGCTCTTCCTTCCGATGTTGTTAGCGTCCACGCCGGACACTACCACTCCCTCGCCCTCACTTCCATGGGCCACCTCTGGGCCTGGGGCAGAAACAACGAGGCCCAACTTGGCCGCGGCCCTTCCTCTAGGTAACTAACTAACTAACTAACTTAACTAAATCAGCTTCATCGATTCTTATTTCATGAGCGTTGTATTGTAGAGAATCATGGCACGAGCCAGAAAGAGTGAAGGGTTTAGAAAACGTGAACGTGTGTGGTGCTTTCGCGTCGGGCGTTGTTTCCGCTGCTGTCGGGGATGATGGTTCTGTTTGGGTGTGGGGGAAGTCAAAACGCGGTCAACTCGGCCTTGACAAACATGTCACTGAGGCTATTGTGCCTACCAAAATGGAAGCACTTTCTGGAGAGAACGTAGCCAAGGTTTCGTTTGGATGGGGGCATGCTCTTGCTCGAACTTCGGATGGAAAGTTGTTTGGATGGGGCTATTTAGCGGACGGTAGAATTGGGAAAATGGGGAATCTCTCTGAGACATCTCCGTTGGAATCCGCGTTTTCAAATGATTCACAACTCTCCAGTTCAGACATGGAAGATGCTGAGAAGCGAGTCTTGCAAGGAATGGAACAGGAGAATAACATGCCAATCATATGGGAACCTCGCTTGGTTGAAGAATTGAACGGTGTTCATGTTCTGGACATCGCGTGTGGCCTTGATCACTCTCTCATTCTTTGCCGTAAGTAGCACGCACACTTCATGTTCAATTTTTCATCACATAAACACACTTCATGTTCAATACTTTTCCAGGTGTTTCTAAATTAATGTTAAAATAATATTTGACCAGCACAGATTAATTCTTAGTTCATGATCAAAAACAAATTGCTCATCACACAGTCTATTCAATTCTTGTAACTAGTTCATGTTTTTAGGTTTTGATTATGCTATATATGTTTCAGGTGATGGTGTGCTTTTGAGCTGTGGGAGCAACGTGTATGGCCAATTGGGGCGAGAGAAAACAGATTTGGGGATTTTTCCGGTTGAAATGAGATTCAGTCCTGTTTTTATAGCCGCGGGGCTTGGGCATTCGTTGGCAATATGCCAGCTTGGTGAATCAGAAGGTAGTGTGGGGACCACCAACATTGCTTCGTGGGGATGGAACCTGAGTTCTCAACTTGGGAGGCCCGGGAATGGGAACTTACCCTCTTTGATTGATGCATTGGAGGGGGAAAACCCTGTCTCGGTTTCAGGAGGGCGTGCACATTCTCTTGCTCTAACATCCAAGGGAGAATTGTGGGTCTGGGGCTCTGGTAAAAGTGGCAGACTTGGGCTAGGAAGTTCAGTTGACCAAGTTGAGCCTTTTTGCCTTGATTCCTTAGAGGGTTTTCAAATTTTACAGGCCGTGTCAGGGTTTGATCATAATCTGGTGCTGGTTGCTGGCTGATTTGATTTGGCTTCAACGAATAGAAAGTCTTTTATGCTTGCTTTAACTTAAAGCTGGACTGGTGGAGTGGAGTCTGTCTATAAATAAACCTAAGCACTCTCTTGGTCCAAATGTCAAACATGCTTTTTTTTTTGTAGGTTTTGTATGTCGTTTATGCTTAAACTGTATCGTGGAGTTTCATGCAAACCCACAAGACTCTATAATTTTGTTTAGTAGTTTGATTTGTATGATGAATAGGTGCGGACACCAAGATTAATAGGCGTCTTTGCTTTTCAGTGGTGTAGATCGTGGTGTGTTTTGCAGACATGCTGGTTCAAATAGCTGAAGGGAATTTTAGGAGATATAAGAGAAATGAAAAAGCAATACTCACGAAACTAACAAAATAGAATCAATCAATTATTCTTGTTTTCGAAATTTAATTACAAGAATTCCTTGAAATCACAAGCTTCTGCGCATTTTATATCACAATTAACAACCTTCTGCAACATTCACAGGACGGTTGGGCAGAAAGATAAAGTAAAAAACATTGAAATTGTTAAATTCGAATTCTCTTTGGCTAAGTTTTCGTGGATGGTTAGCAAGTTGGAAGGTCCTTTGGTGGAGGCAGAACAGATTGATCTTGTCCTGGTCCATTTTCCACAACGAAAGCCGTTTTCAACCCCCAACCAGTGTGCAGCTCCAAATGACAATGCATGAACCAAACACCTACAATATACAAGTACAACATGACACTAGAGTATATATGTTAAATATCGGACAACATTATACAATGCCTAGATTGTCTTAACAGTTAAACCTTATAGAAGTTTAGGACATCTTCACGAACCATACATACCTGGATTATCTGCCTGAAAACGAATTGCAGTCCAACCCCCGGTTGGAACCCCAACTGTGTTCCTCTCAATAGGATCTACCAAATTATACTTAGCGGGGTCTTTAGCAGGATCAAAGTTACCAACCCCAGTTCCAACAACAAAAAAGTTATAGCCATGAAGATGGAATGGATGTGACTCAACACTGAGGAGATTGGTGTCCTGCAAAACTAGCTCCACTGTGGAATTGAAAGCAATCTTGCTAACTCTCGTGCCAGTTAAAGTGGCAAGATTGGCGGTTAGCGGTGCACCAGTATAGTTGAAAGGGCTTGGAGGGTGGTCAGGAAAATCAGTCCTGAAAACCCCCTTAATATTGAAGTAGTGAGCTTGGAGAAGTGCAATTTGTGGCATCACAAAAGATACATTGTTTAAGGAAGCAAGTAGCCGGGTTCCATTGAGGCATGTTGGGCAAGAATTCTTGCCTAAGCCAATAGTGTAAAAGAGGTTTCTATCAACTTTTAGAGGAACATTAGCTGGGTACTGAGCAGAGTTTAGGCTCCTTAATTTTTTGTTGTAACTCAAAGCAAAACGTGTGTCGTTGCTAGCTGGCAACTGCGGAAGGATGGGGAGGACAGTGTTTGGAATGCCTTTATATTGCAGTATACCTGTGGCAGTTTTGTTGTCAACTGGAATTGGAGCATCCATAAAAGCCTTGGTGGCCATGAAGTACCTTCCTGCAACTTGGTTGGCTTGGACCAGAACGTTTGTGGTTTGACCAGGTGCAATTAGTAGAGCCTGAGTGGTGAATGGTTTTGTATAAACAGCGTCAACCTCCACTACTGTCAAATTGTGACCCGCAATGGCAAAGAAAAGCTCGTCATTGAGGGCAGCATTGATGATTCTCAGGAGGTAAGTCTTCCCTTGCTCTACTTCCATTGCATACGTGTCTAGAAATTGAAACAAAAAATCAGTTAGAACAAAAGACT